AATAAATAAATAAATAAAATAAATAAATAAATAAAAAAATTAACGAATGGAAATTGCATGAGAATTTGTAACTCGAAGAACTAGTCGACACGTGATCGTGTAATGCGGATCCTGTGATTAGAGGATGAGTAGCGCTATATTTTGTCCGAGTGCTATTTGATCACACCCCTGGTCTGCCACTCGTGGCTGAACCTTCAAACAAGTAGCTTGAAGGTCCGAAACTCCCTGGGATTTTGTGAGATGCGCACTGATGATGCTTCCGAATAAGGATGAAATAGCCGGACAGTGCTTCTCAAAATAAACTGGCCTCACTTAGAGGACACAATTTCAATGTTAAAACCGAATGTGTTTCCGTGAGATTCAACGTGAGGAAGGCCCTCTCAGTCGGGTGGGGGGCCGACAGCTTGGACAGAATAAAATCCGATCGTGAGAGGTCAAAAAAAATCGTTCAGCTGTAGCACTCTTTCGGCGCCTAGCTGCCATGCCGTCCAAAGGAAGCACGAAGGCTGGTATACTGCCAGGTTGTCCAAGCCTAGTCGGGGGAAGTCGAGAGGCAGAGGTCGGGTTCGAACCACGGACCTTCCGGTCAGTAAATTCGCGCTCTAACCACTTGGTCCATCCAACAGTCTTGATGGCACTGTTGGATCCTAGGTGAACCCACACGCAGTTTGAAACAGGTGTATTCGTGACGCGGTTATCTCTCGTTGCATGTTTCTGCTGTGGTCTTCCCATCCCCACCCGTTAATCAGGTTCCTTTCTGTGTAAGAATCAGTTTCACAGCTTTAAACATGAATTTCACAGACTTCAAAGCCGCCGGAATCAAGGAGGAGAACAGACAAAATAGGCCCGCCACGGCAGGATACACCTTCATTCAATTTCTGGACCGAATTTGTGAGGTTGAAGCTCTAAAAGAAAAACTATCACCTGAAAAATGTGGTCGCGGGAGAACGTCACGTGCACACCGCGCTTTGGTGGTACCAAGTAGCGAATGCTCCTGGGAGACGTCTAAATGTTCTGAATAAAACCAAGTTGGCAAACTCAGTCAACGGGAGGCGCATCGGAGGAAGAAGGCAGACGATTCGCACCAAAACCAGACCCGAGTTACCGAAGACAAGGCTGGGAAATCAGCTTACAACCAAGAATAAGTGCGACCATCCAATGATTGAAGGTCATCTTAGTTCATTCAGTTAGAGTTATGTACTAGCAAGTTTCAGATACGAAAACGTTTGTCCACCCGGGACTTTGCGCAATGGGACCGGTGTTCTAACCAACTATCTAGTGTTGAATTATTGGGAACTAGGATAGCGGCATACCGGAGAAGAGTTTCATACAGGGATGCTACTGACTGCGTGACTGGGGCATCAAAAGCCATCGTGGCGCAGCACCGGGAAGGCGCAGGGCAGTAGCCACGTATATGGTACTAACTGAAACATGAGGTGACCCTGTGCAGCACATATATTAGGAAAAGATCATCATAAACAAGAGAGACAGATGGACTCAACTGAGTCTCAAATCAAACTAGTCTGCAACCAAGAGTATTTGGGAAATTCCGTCTAATTTGGGTTCATGGAAAACACAAGGTTGACGGAAGCTTCGGGTTCCTCATTTCCGATGATCTCCAAGAAGGGTAAAATTAGCCGCGACCTGTTGGACAGTTTTCAGCGACCTGGTGAGTAGTGTGTTAACTCCAGAGAGCCATTTGAGGTATTAGACCGTATGATTCAAGGTGGTGGTGGCCGATTTTGATAAAAACTCTTAAAACATTGATCGTAGTGAAAGAGTGAGAAACACCCTCGAGATAAGTTCAGACCGAGTGTAAATATACATATTTAAAAAATTCCAGATACGAGATATCCTCCACTAATCGCCACTGGACTGCGGTATTTTGGAATATTTCTCATGGAACCGTGAAAGAATGTTGCCCTCGAGTCCCATTATACACGCACTGTTCATCTTTTCGGTCCATCCACTAAAATTCCTCTTGTGTTTTTGAATCCGTATACGTAGGCTCGACAAGCAAACATCTCGAAAATCCATCAACAAACGCCCTACTAGCAATAATATTAGTAGTATCATCATATTCGTCATTGCACAAAACATAAGTGTCGGGTCGTTTGGCTCACAGCACTCGCAGAACCGACGGCTGTCTCACATTCAGGGCACATATTGTCTGGTTCTCTACGGTCAACAAAACCTCTTCGTCCCAGGATTTTTGCCTGTTTACTTTGTATCAGGATAGTTTTTATCCGAGTTTTGTTGCATTACACCTGCTACCACATTCAGCATCCTCGTAGGTACGGGCGACTTCTGTATGCACCAGTAACAGCGAGGATTTGAGGGCCACCCTTCGATTGGCTCCAACTAACTCATATATGCAGTGAAACCCATCAATATGACAAGCGTTCAGCTGTGGCAACCTTTCGGTGCATAGCTATCACATCAACTGACTGAAGCACGAGGGCTGAGATACTGTCAGGTTGCACGACTCAGGAAATGGGACAGCCGAGATGAAGAGGTCAGGTTCGATCCTTCCGGTCAGTAACTGCGCAGACTCCACTGAGTGGTACATGCAAGCTAGGAGCCATTTTAAGCACCCTTCCGTCCTTGTTGAGAACATCCCTCTCATCGAATAAGCTTGTTTCTCGAGAAATGCATGCACTTGCAAATCAATTTGGTTTTCCGCGAGAGACTCAACGGAATCTCTCGCTTGTGATATTCTACAACTGAATGTGCTGCACACAGGCCGCCTCATGTTTCAGTTGGCACGATATTCGAGATATCGCAGTATATTTTCATGAAGGAAACTACCCACAAGATTGCTAAAAACTCTTCGACAGCCTAACTTATCAGTACTTTGTTACATTTATACAATGTACTGCGATGTTGGCGCTTCGTACCAAGTGCAACATGAAGCGGCCTGTGCGCAACACATTCAGTTGAAGAACATCATAAACGAGAGATTCAATTGAGTCTCCCGTGGAAAGCCAATTGATTTGCAAATGAGTGTATTTGTCGAAATCAGTCCAATTCGAGTTCAAGTAGATCATAAGGTTGACGAAAACTCGGCGACTGCTTCTACCTGATGAGCCTGAATTGGAAGGGCAAAACCGGTCGTGGGCTGTCGAAGCGTTTTCAGCAACCTTGTGAGTAGTTTTTTTTCATGAAAATATATTGCGATATCTGGAATATCGTGCCAACTGAAACATGAGACGGCTTGTGTGCAGCGCATTCAGTTGTAGAATATCACGAACGATAGATTCAGTTGAGTCTTCCCTAAAAAACCAACTTGGTGTGCAAATATGTGTACTTATTTACACTCTCGCCCACTGAGGACTTCGATATGTGACCAGGATGAATTATCGAAAGTAGTCACACCAAGGAGGGTGAACGATGAACTGAACGTGCGGCGAATAGCAACCGGAGTGAGGAAATGGACAAGGATGGAAAAATGGTATCATCCTAAATCATTGAATTTCACTGAACTTCACTCATCTCATTCACGTGATGACGTCCTTTCGGGCCGGAATGGTGTTTCCCATCGCATGCTGACAAACACGGCGTGAATTAACGTACTGAAAGGTAAAACACAATGTCCCCGCGTTGCGAATGTCATATTTCTCTACTTATTAATTCAACACAGATCGGTTTTAGCGTAAAACACAGGGCATGGCTCAGGAGAGCCACACACCTGGCCTCTTTTTGGACATGGCAACCGACCGCGAATGGGAGTACAGCGTGTTTCTACATAGAACTTTATCGGAACTCAGTAAAACTTTGTCCCCTCTCAAAGGGATCAAGCAAAGTAACAGTTTTCACGCAGCAACTAACTGCCGTTTTTTAAACATCATTCATATTTCCATGAAGGAAACTGCTCAAAAGGTTGCTGAAACCTCGTCGACAACGCACGACCGGTTTCGCCCTTCTTGGGGCTCATCAGGTAGGCGCAGTCCCCNCCAAGCCTAGACAGGTGAAGTCGAGAGGCAGAGGTCGGGTTCGAACCACGGCCCTTCCGATCAGTAAATTCGCGCTCCAATCACTTGAGCGATCTCGGGTGACAACTAGGCACCGAAAGGGTGTCACGACTGAACGATCATCCGTAACAGTTGAGCTGGTCGGCGTTCACAAAGCATTTAATCAAACAATTATTTTGCAGCGACTGCTTAGGAACAGACTGTGGTCAGTGGTGTGGGAAATCAACACTTGTAGGAGTTATGCGCCAGCATCTAGATCAAGTGACCTTGGGTTGTTCAACCAAAAAGTACACAGACATCTGAAGATGGTGTCACTGCTAATTCCCAACGCAATTGGAAAGCACCACATAAGACTAACGGGAAATTATCAAGCTGGTACCAAGTAAAGGCAAGGGGGATAACACGTGCCCAGCTGCAACCAATCAACTTATCGTATTGAAGGACGCTCAAGCTGATTGGTTCATTCAGAGCCTGTTTCTCGTTTCAGAAGAGCTTGGTAAACAATCGGTAGGTGTTTTTGGGGGCGAAGTTTCGTTTTCGACACAAAAGTGAGCCAAGTGAGCAGGTCACCAAATTGGCCAGGTTATAAGACAGCCGGGGAACCAGTCAGTAAGTCAGTCCTCTTCAGATTATCACACTAGATCAGTGTTGAGTGTCAATTAACAGCTCTTTTCGGTTAGTGAAGTTGTCAAAATCTTGCTTTGGTGGATTGGGTAAGTTTCAAATTAATTCTGATTGGGTTTGGTTTCTTAGTCTTTCAATTTAGGGAGCTTCAATCGATGATTCACCTCGGTTGCCACTGGTGGATTTCCCCAGGTCTCTGTGGAGTTTTGAGTGCTCCAACAATTTCGTTTGAGCAGGGGAAGGCGTCAGGTCAAGTGGAATTCAGATGATGACTACTCTTCCTTCCGATGACCGCATGCCAACACGTGTCAGCTCGACTTATCCAAACCGATTGTTTACCAAGCTCTTCTGAAATGATGACTTCTCAATCGGTTCCTAACCTTTTCCAGAAGCTTGTTTCTCCCTCAAAGTGGCAATGATGAGTGAACCCCATCAGCAAACTCACCTGTCAAGCGTTCCGGTGCCATATAGGTCCGTAATCCGAGGAATGCGCTGGCCAGGGCCTCCGACAATGGGAGGCTCACGACGAAATCACAAAGTTTCACGGTGCCAGATCGATTGAGTAGAATGTTGGATGGCTTCAAATTTCTGAAACAAGATGGAAAAAAACATGTCCAGACTTCCGGTTGACAGTAGGGGCAACTCGTAGGTGGCTTCGATTTATATCCTGCTGTAACAGTTGAGGGATGAGATGGCTTAGTGGTTAGAGCGCGGATTTACTGACCGGAAGGTCCGGACCCAACCTCTGCCTCTCGACTTCACCTGTCTGGGCTTGGGCAACCGGCAGCACCCCAGCCTTCGTGCTTCCTTCGGGTGACAACCGTTCAGCTGCAACACCCTTCCGGTGCCTAGCTACCTGAAGGAAGCACGAGGATTGGTTGCCCAAGCCTAGACAGGTGAAGTCGAGAGGCAGAGGTCGGGTTCGAACCACGGCCCTTCCGATCAGTAAAT